CTGAACACCTAAAGGAAGAGCCGGCTTAGAAACTTCTGCCTGAGAAAGAATGCTGACCTCGGCTGGGGGAGGGGAGAGGCCCCACCCCCAGGGAGCCGCAGTCTGGCGCCTGGCCAGGTGGAGGGTTGTTACACTGAAAGCCCCGGGGCGCTGGGTTCCTAAACAGGGTCCCAGCTTCTCTCCTGCAGCAGCAGCAGACACCGATCAGCTTCCACAGAGTAGAGGAAATGAAACCTGTGACGTCAAGAGATAAAGATCTTCTAACCAAAGAAGCAACATGTGCAGAGGCATGTTTCTCAGTTCACATGGGGTATTTCTGTGCAATGAAATGTCAACACGGAACTGCGACTGGGGGCGGGGAGGGTGGTGGCAAGGAGCCTGGTCCATGGCTGGCAAGCAGGGATTGCTGTGGGGACAATGGCCCACCCGCCCACTGTGCTGAGGCAGCTACGCACAGCAGCCCTAGGTTGCAGCAGCTTAAAGGGCTCCTGGCGTCCTGAGTCAGCAAGTTGGTCCGTGCTACCCAGGGGGCCAGCCCCTAAGTTCAGAAAAGGAGAGGCCGGCAGCTGCCACCTGCGGAGGGCTGACTATGTGCCAAGCACTGGGTTCTCATGCATTCATTTAATTCCAGGAGGAAAGTGTCATCTGGGCAGAGGTCATCTGGGCAGAGGGAGTTAGGTAACTGGTCAAGGTTAAGTTTACTGAGAAGCACAGGAGCAGGGACTGGAAAGCACCTGCTCCCAGGCTCAGCCTCCCTCAGAGGCTCAAACTGCGGGGCCTCCAATATTGGACTGCTGGGCAGATCACTCCAACCACAGGGCAGGGAGAGGGAGTTCGGCAGACATGAGCTCATCCTCTGGGGACGGGGCAGTGCCCTCTATCCAGGCCCCACCCCACAGGTCTACTAGTGTAGACCACATCAGGTTTTACTACAGGGTTTGGGGTACAGGGGGTGTGTCCAGGGTAGGTGTGAATTCCTCAAAACGCAAGAAAGGCCGTGGGATGGAGGAGAAGGCAGCAGGGGCAGAAACAGCTCACGCACAGTGGCAGCAGGTCATCAGTGACCTCGGGGCCAGCTGTCCGTCAGTGAGTGCCGCCCCACCCACCCGGTGAATCTCCCAGTCACCTCATGTGACTGTCACAACCACCCTACAGGGATGCAATTACTATTTCTACTTTGATGAAACTGCAGCTCAAAAGCATTAAATGACTTACCCAAGATCAGGCGGCTCAGGAGTGGGAGAGACAGAATTTGAATCTAGAACCCAAATCAAAATAAGAAGCAGAAGAATCTAAGGTGCTGCTAATTCAGTGCACAGGCAGAAGGCACAGGAACCTAGCATGACACTGGGTGTCATCTGGGCATAATATCTGTAAGAGCTCCTTACAGGACACTGGACTGATGGCACTGACAATTCCCCTGGGAATGGTTTCATGTATGGTCACAGATTTGGAGTTACAGATGGTCCGGAATAAAAAAATCTGTGCATAAGCAGTCACCCCACAGGCAGGTCTCCTTCTGAACCAGGTGGGGCTCAGCCAACTTCACTTTGTAATGCTTTCAGCTTCATTCGCTCTCGAGATCATCAAGGAACAAGCACCCGATGGAGAGAAAGACTGGCGTGCAGAAGAGCACCTGGCAACGTGCAGCTTAGTGACCCAACACCTCCTGACGTCTCATCTATGGTTTTCCCCAGAAGACCAGCGCCTACAAGGTCAGACACTGGCACAGACGCCACCATTTAACTTTTCAAAAGCCTTTCAAATTCAATGCATTGTTTCTGCACACTTTTGAGGCTGTCATGAGAGCTTTAGTCCTACTGGAATATCTATTGATGAGAGCCTATTGATAAGGACCGGAAGTGGGGGCTGCTGAGAACCCAGGCCCAGTGAAGCCCCCGACTCCCTTCCCCTCAAGATACACGGGGGACATGCTCCTTGATGGCCACTGGGCAGACCAGCAAAGAGAGACCCTGCTAGGTCGCCCCCAGCTGCTGGGAAACACTGAGGAATTAATAGGCCCAATAGGCCCAACGACACAACCTCTTAAGTCAAGGCTGAAAACCAAAACAATAGGAGCTGAAAAAAAAATTCCTATCAGCTACTGATGAGAACATTTAGAATGTCCTTGAAAATGGAAGCACCTTCTCTGAGCTGCCCAGACACACTTGTCATGTCAGGACAGCAGGTCCTCAGGGGCATCAGCGTGGTGCGGGGCAGGGAAGAGCTCCAGAGTGAAATGAAAGGATTCCAGGTTAGCTCCCTCGGCACCCTGGCTGTGCGACCTTCAGCAAGGTCACTCAACTCCTGTGCGGCTCAGTCACCTCGCCGATCAGACAGGGAACTCTCACTGTCCCTGAGGTTCCCTTGGGGCAGGGCTGCAGAGCTCAGGTGCTCTCAGTCAGGGACAGATGACGACCAGCCTCCTCCCAGTCACTCACAGCTTCTTTTCCTGAAGGAAAATGCTCTTTAAAGTTAGAAGAGATTTCGCTTTGACACATTTGCTCCAGTGAGGTGTTCTGGTTTCACGTTCACATGGGATACTTCTTTCTAGTTCTTTCTAGAGTCTTGCTCTTTTGTGAAAGTCAAACATAACTGCGGATTCAACCCCAGAGACCTAATTTCAGAAACCTTGACATCTTGGTATTCCCTCCCCAGGCCTGGGGACATGAAGGACTTTGACTTTCCCAAAGTGTGCTCCCCGGTGCTCTTACACATCTCCTAAAGGACCAGAGAGGCCTGGGCGAAAAGCCCCACAACAGCAGATGTGAGGTCTGACTGAGCCCCTTCTTTGCCTCCAGCTAGCTGTGGGCGCAGGAGCAAGCACCCTCACTTCGGGGGCTCTGCTTCCTGGCAGTGAAGTGAGAGGACTGGAGCATGGACCCCCGGGAACCTCCCGTGTTCTGTGACCAGGGGACATCTACCCTACTCCAACTCACTTCATATATATGTATTTACCATGGACGTGCTGCTCCACATACCCTCTGATGCCTGGAATTCCTCTTGAAAGAGACACAATCAAAGAGGATGTCTTAAAGCCTCAGATCCCTGTGAGGAAAGTATTCATTGTCCTTACTCCCTAGGGAAGGCATATGAATTTCTTGAGAGTTGACTTAATAGAGAATATGTCCTTCCTTCTGCTCTTCCCTATCTGCACCTTTGAGATTTTACCAGCCTGCATTTTGGAGCCCTCATCTATACAATGGACATGATAATACTCACTTCTCCAATTTGCAGAGAGACTTTGGCATGTTAAACAATAACCATGTAGTAGGGGCCTACAGAGGTCATCAACTATTATCTCTTATTTTTGTATTAAAGCTGTTAGATCTCCAGGGAAGGTGGAACACAGACAGGCAGAGAGGGTCTCTTTGCCAGTGTTCTGTTGGGAGTCAACTATGTATTTACCTTCCAGTAAGAATATTCAGAGAAGCACACACCTGAAGTCATAACTCCAAAAGACATTAGGGCCAATATCACAGAGCCAGGACAATAAAAGGAAGAAGAATACGAGGCCCGTGGCAAGGGACCAGTCTAAAGGGATATTAACGGCAAGACCAGGAGAAGGACCTGCGTCTTTACACTTAAGGGTAAAATTATGGAATAACCAACCTCTATTAGTCCAGGAAGCTATGGTCCTCTGCACTCAGCTGAATTGTAAATGTGTATGAAATTACTGCATTTGGGTTAAGTAAACAGAGGCCCTTTACCTTTGATAATCCCCAGATGCCTTCCAGACATTTGCTTCCCCACGAGCTCAAACCACAAAGATGGGAAGACCAAAGCACACACCACTAGCACTCTCCCACTTGGATATCATCACACTTCTGGAAGCAATTGCCTAAGAATACCATAGGCCACTGAGGTAGATGGCAACCTACCTGGAAGGCAGCAAGGTTTGACAGCATGGTCTGTGCCAGGAACGTTTCTTGAGTGAATGAATGAATGACATGTACTAGCCTTGTATTCAGATGGTCTTTAACAGCTTTGTGACAGTCGACCCTCCATGTCCCTAACCACCACTCTCCTAGTAGGGGATGAGGATGCCCAAGGCAGTCCTGAGAATTCCATGACATGTGTAGAAAGTCTAGAACAATTCTTGGAATAGTCAGCAATGAATATCAGTCAGTTGCCTCCCTCCCTCTGGAAAAGCACATTCTTAAAAAGAAAAAAAAGTGGCCTCAAAGAGTTTTGAACAATGTTACCTAGAAGAGAAAGCTTGGCCACAGAGGGTTCTGCTAACTAGAACATAATGAGTTAATGGAAGAACCATAAATGAAATGCAGATGCCCAGCATCCTGCCGAGCTGTCTCCTAAAATAACCTAGATCTTCACATTGCCACACATTTGCACTGGCTGTTTCCTCACCTGGAATGCTGGTCCTTCCCACCTTGCCATCTCTTAAGTCTGGGCTCCACAATCACCTCTCCTCTATTAACTTTGCTGATTCTCCAAGTCCCAGTAAGAATGTCTCAGCCTCCAGTTCCTGCCTGATCCGGTCTATGACTTCATTTAGGACCTGTAACACTTCCTTTCCGGCCCAGCTGGCTAGCTAATGAATCTTGATAATCACAGTGCAGTGTTGAGAACTGTGATTAATACATGATCTATACTTAGGAAATATCTACTGAAGGAGAAATGAATGAATGAATGAATGATGACAGATGCCAGGCATCGAGTGTTCTGAAGGTAGGATTTTCACAATCTTGCCTTTCTAACATTGAAAATGTCACAGAGACTTATGACACCAAAATAAAAATAGTTGCTGGTCACAGAATATCCCGTCACCTGTCCTTGGAGCATTTGATAACACCTTTTAAATAGTGCCGATTTGTTTTCCAAGGGTGCTTAGAACATTGCACTAGTCCCTCCCTTTGTCCCTTCGCACCCCCTTCTCCTCACCTGGACAGCAGGCAGCAGAAAATGTCCATTCCAACCTCTCAACCTCTCAAGCAAGCTGCCTGGGAGAGTACATGGGTCAGGACAGGGATGAGACTCACCTTTCTTCGTCCTTAAAGATGAATTTCCGCAGCTTGAGATCCCGCAGCACCAGCCCCCCGTCGTGGCAGTGGGCCACCGCCGAGGCGATCTGGTAGAAGAGTCTGGCCGCCTCCTCCTCCCTCAGCTTCTTGCAGGTGCGGACAAAGGAATGCATGTCCCCATAGCTTCGCTCGAAGAACACATAGGCCTTGGTCTCCCCCAGGATAATTTCGGTGATTTGGTTGATGTTGCTATGGGCGGACAGGCAAAAGCATGGGGCCAGGGACTCCTGGTAGCAGCTGATATCAAACACCTAGGGCAGGATTAACAAGACCAAGAGTCAGAGGTGTCTCATATAACCAGATCACTGAAGGCAGTCACCTCCCACAGGTGTGAGCTTCTGAGATGACAGGAAGCCTGCTGAGCTTGGCTCCAGACCACAGCAGCTGTGCCTCCTACCAGCTGTGCAGCACTGATTAAGTTGCTTGACCTCTCTGAGCCTCCAAATCCTCATGTAAAATGGGTAAGTGATACTGGATTTGCAGTGTTGGGCAGATTATATGAGACAATGAAGGCAAAAGTGCTTTGCAGGATGCAATCCACTGCACAAGCAATATATGTTACTGTGTTTTCTCTCTATCCCAATCACCTCTGCTTATAGAAGAACTAAGGCAAAATCCTTAAGTGACCCACCCCAGCTGCAGAGACCTTCAGAGAAGACCTATTTACTTAAAAAAAAATGTACATCAACACCATATAGTGATGACCATTGTAAACAACATATTTTATACTACACAACTATGCTGTACAGCACAATACAAGATATTAGCAGTTAATAGGTTAAATATGTAGACTTTGCCTAAAGGTTATCTAGTTCAGTACCTTCATTTTACAGATGTGCAAACTAAGGCTCAGAGAACAAGTCAAACCAAGGCCCCAGTGGCAGAGCTAGGAATTGGACACAGTCCTTGGGAAAGCAGACGTGCTTCTTTCTCTATTCTTTCACAGCTATCTAGTCAATGAATCAGTTATGCAATGATCTTCTATGAATCAGCATAAGCCTGTGAAGTGCCACCTCACTGTGGGGTATTAAAAGAAAATCCAGCCTCGATACCTTTTAGACACAGACCTGAGGAATGAACACTAACAGAGGATTTTTGAGGTTCTAAGAAAAAGCTTTCATTCATTTCAAGACCTCGTTCAAACAGGATTAGGAATCCCTGGGTTTGGAATGTGGTTTTACTATCTGCTTGGGACTGCGGACTCCATTGTGTCCTGCTGGAGCAAGGCATGGGCCTGGGGGTGCTCTGGGGGCGGGCATCTGAGGCCAGGAATGCCGTAACAACAAACAACAAACACTTCACGTTGCCAGTTCACTATCATTCCGCGGCTTCAATCTCTTTGTCATTAAGTAGAACATACTCTCCTTGACCATTGTTTTGCAGTGTGGTGGGGAATATGCTGGCCTAGAAAACGAGGCTCTAATCCTGGCTGGGCCACTGGTAATCTGGATGAGGTGGATAAAGCGCTCATGTCCTCAGGCCTCCCTCCTCTTCAGAAACTGAAGATGCTGACTGGAAGCACTGTTGATTTTTTAGGTCCAGATCCCACATGAGAATCTGATAAAAGGTCCGTCCCCTCTTAGCTGAGATGCCCACACTCAAACACAAGCACAATGTATCAGATTCATCTTCAGGGGATTCCCAGACCTTCCAAAACCCAACTAGAGACACAGCCTTCAGTCACTCTTAAATTCAAAATATAAAAGAAATCTGTGAGTCAAACAGGGATAGGATAGTAAAAAACCTCAGGAGGGCTGGCGCTAACCCTGGGTGAGAAAGCAAAGTAACATTGTGAATGAACCGTATTGAGGCATCTCAGGAAAGCAGCACAGCCGCTGCCACTATAACCCAGAATTTAAGAATGAAAAATTCAGCATCTCCAGAGACCACAAATCACACCCTGATACTGTCAGATGATGACCTTCGAGCAGTGACCTCAGAGGTCCGTTCAATTAGGAATCTGAAATGCTTGAGTCAGCTTTAACACCCAGACTGCAGGCAGCAGAAACCGGGGAAAGCCTCAAAAATTTCAGAGTGCCATAAACGTTTTGTAGTGGCTAATGTAAACATTCTGCGTTATGTAACGGGGATGATGTGTTCCGAAGCACCAGGCTATAGGCTCTGTCGCCTGTGCTCATGGAGTTATGATTACTTATAATATACTTCCTGCTTTAAATTGCAATTTAAAAAAATAAAAGGTGATTTTTGCTAAGCACCTTTTGTCTATTATCCTGCCCCACTGATGGAAAACCAAATGGACGTAGAAATAAAACAAAGATCAAACATGCTCACAGCAGCATCAGAATGTAGCCATACCACCCCCTGTAGAAGAGACCAAATTCCAAGATGGTGGACAAAGTATGACGAATAAAGCAAGTACTTGTGTTTTCTCAAATTGGTATGAACCAAACTTTTATTAGTAGCTATAACGGGCATCGATGAGCTTGGATCGGCTTTTAAACCATCACCTTCAAGTGCAAAATCAAGCCCTGAGCCTGGTTGCCAGCTTCTTTCAAATGTTTAATTTGGAGTCTTATGTTATACAAGGCGACAGTTTGGATAAAGCAGTAAGATTAGGCCATCATTAATAGCATTGGCAAAAAAAAAAATCATAATAAGTGCCCATTCTGCCAAGACAGTAATTGTGTCAATCTGCACAGTAACTACCTAGTAGTAATTGTGTCAATCTGCACAGTAACTACCTACGTCCATAAAGATCCCTTAAAACTCCCTTTCTTCACTTTCCTACTTTAAAGTAGTCACATGGAGACAATAACCACGCTTGATTGTTCTGGCTAAGTGACCCTCAAATCTCTCTCCCCTGCCAAATAGTGTCCTATAGAATTCTCGATAGAGCCCTCTAAAATAAGTGACATCTTTACATTTGATCTGTCTGGCAAGGACTTTTCTAGGAGACAAGAACTCTATATTCTAAGACATCAAAAGCAACTTGATTCAATATGTAGATTTCACTGAGCATTGCTGTAAGCTAAGAGTCCACAGTATAATATCTGAGGGTAAGTTCATAGAAGCTGTCTTACAAAACGCATTGAAGCTTCCTAGGATACATACAACAATGCTTGCAGAAGAAGTCACCCACATCACCTCTGGTTAAAAGGCAGAAAAACAAGCTGCTGTATCTTAAAGGGATGACCTCTGTCAAGCAGAACAATGATACTGCTTTTAAATCCACTTGCAGCCACACAGTAATTGGTAAGGGGCTAATTCAATCTTTGCAATAAATAAACAAGTAGATTATATGTACAGTTTCATACTAGAGAGCAAGTCTACAATGACACTGTAAGGTCAGCCCAAAGTGAACTATGTCTTGAAAAATCTACAGGGAGAAAAGCACAGGGGCCATAGTCACCTCTGCCTTTAAACAAAGAAATAACAGCAAGATGCTCCTGCAGAATGTGGTGCTTTGTCACTATACTTAAAAGGGTCTCTAGCCTTTGAAAATTATTAAAAGGCTGTTCCAAAGTTGTGTAAAAGGAATGAAAACACTCACTACTGGGTGATTGTGCATATTTCATATGCGAGTGGCAGCTCTGTGGAATTCATTCATTTCCAAGGATGACTACCCTATTGTGCAATGTTGTAGGTCTTCTGAGAATTCAATCCAGCTCTGAATAGCCTACTGAATTTTGGTTAACCAGGCACAGTTGCTCTGGGTCTCAATAACTTGGAGAACATGCAAAATACCGAGTGCTTAGAACAAGCAGAGAGCAATATTTAAAGTCTCAGATTCTCCCCTGAGGTCTGAACTGAACAATTGCAAAACTGACTGGATACCTCCACAAAACCCTTTTTTTACAATGAAATACTTCTGTCCCCTAAAAAACAAAGCAGTCTGCGGTTAATGGTAAGTGTGATGCATTATCTGTAACACAGCTGTGCAGGTGCCCATTTCAAAGACAAGAAAGGTCCCTACTCCACTACCCCCTTCCCCAGCAAGAAAAAAACCAGCAGTGAGCAAAGCTAAAATTAAGTGACAATGAATTCTTGACCTATGTCCAATTCCTGGGGAGCAGGATGCTCTACTGTATTCTTTTTTTGTTTTCTGTGTTTTTTTTGCAACTATTCCCTTCTCATCCTCTGATCTGGAACCTGGTGTGTGCCCACAAAGATACACACACACACTCACACTTAAACACAAACTAGTCACTATTCAGGGTCAAAACAAAAAGGAAATTGAAGTGCCCATCTCAGCATTAGCCCTGCGAGACCCTGGGGCTCCAAACGCTGGCGTGTAAATCGCACAGGACGTTGGGGGTGGGGGGCTCAAGGGGCTATTCAGGCACGGAAGTCTGGAGATAGGAAGAAACGGAGATGAGAGAAAACGACCCCAAAGGAGTCACTATTTTCTACACCCAAAGGCGCGCCGGCGGCTTTGATTTCGCCCCCTTCCCTCCTTTCAAGGCTCCAGGCAGAAAAAAAGCTCTTTGTAAACTCCTTCCCCGCGCTGGGCCCCTGACTCAGCCAGAGAGGACACCTTTGTGTGTCTCTTAAAGGGCACCTTCGGAACAAAGGTTTAACACCTGCACGCTAAGAACAATGGCTGCAAAAGGAACCAAGTCATCAGTGCCTTAAAATTAGCGGGGGATTCCCTACTCCATGTTGGAAGGAGAGGGGGCTAGACAGCGGGAGAAATCCCCCTGGCAGCGCGACCGGGCCCCGCGCGCAGGAGCTCCACGAGCCTTTGGGGGCGCGCGCCCGTGGCCCCCGCGCAGTCCCGGCGCCCTCCCCGCCCTGGGCTCTCCCCAAAACGCCCCCGCCGCAGCCCGCCCCATTGTCTGCAACGCTCTAAAAACTTCGCAACTAGTCGAACAGGAACAAACAAATAAATAAACCCATTTAAGGAGGCCACGGATAATTAGCCCGCGAATCTCACTTCGCCAGACTCCACGGCTTGGCGACCTCCCGCCCCCTGCAGACCCCTCCAAAAGGCCGGGGAATCATTTTAAAAGACAAAAAGCAAAACCAAACCCCAGCTCTTTACCTTGCACACCAGCTCCTCTCCACTGTGCAGATGCACGGCACGAAAAACGTGGTCTCCCTCCAGAGGTTCCAACAATAAGTATTTCCCGATGCAAGAAACGCAATGCGACAAGTTCGGAGTCTCCGGCGGGCTCGGAGAGCCGAGGTTCGGGCTGAAACTCTGGCTGGGTTCGGCAGACCTTATAGACGACAACTCTTCGAAATCCTGGGTTTTGTTCCGCGATCTCCCATATCTTGCTATTGTGATGGGGGTAGACCTGTGTATGTTCATGAGTGTGGGGATCGCACTCGACAAACACAAAACCCGCTGGAGAGCCGAGTCGCTGGCGAGTGCTGCTGCAGGCGCCTCCGTGCCACGGATTTAAAAGGGAACGAGAGGGGAGGGGACGGAAGGGGGCTATGTGGATAAAGAGTTAGAAGCCCCCGAATGGGCGCCGCCGGGCACCTTGTCTGCGCCGAGCCCGGCTCCCGGGGGTATTCGGTCGGCAGCAACTCGGGTCCTTTTGTTACCCCAGAGCCAGAGATTTGCAGAATCTCCGCACTTTTAGTTTCTCTCTCTCTCTTTCCAACGTGGATCTAGACGAGCAGCAGGACTGCTATGGTGGGGAGCTGCCGCGCTGGGTCTCCCGGAGCGATCCCCACGCAGGCTTCCGAATCGCAGACGGGGCGGAGGAGCCCTGCCGTAGTTTGTTCAGTCTTCGGGGAGCGCACAGCAGCAGTTGGGTTTCAAAGCGTTAGAAACCAAACAGAAAGAAAAAGGAAATAAGCACGGGTCTACCGGCTCGCGCCGCACGGCAGACAGAATCCGCGCTGCACCCCCTTTTTTGGTGGAAAGGGTGGGGGGCGTGGAAGGGGGGGGTTGCCGGAGAGAGTAGTTACCTACGTTTTAACTGTAGATGGCGTCTGAGGCTTTTCCAAGATCGCAAGAGATCTCCAAAATTTAAACAAACAGACAAAAAAAAAAAAAAATAGCAAGGGAGTATTTAACTTAGAGCGGTCAGCGCTGCCAACAAAAGACTGCAAAAGCTGGGCAGAGTTGCGGCGTGGGCCAGGCGCAGGTACCGCGACAAAGCCCAAGGCTTGGCCCACCGGGCGGAGGTCAGCACAGGCTCATATTGCCGCCGCTCGCTCGCGCTGCAGAAAGTCCCCCGAATAAAGCAAGAAGTGGGGGCAGATCTTGTAGTCTCCGATTTCCCAGGCGAGAGCTTCCGGGGGTCCTCCGGGCGCTGTAAGGGGACGCACCCCCAGCCCAGCCACCCCGCGGCGTTCCTTTCCTGCTGGATAACTGGATCTTTCCTCGGAATAATTTACAACCAGTCCTTCTTCCCCTACCCTACACCCAAATTGCCTGGTGGGGTTTGTTTTGGAGAAAATCAACGGCTTTTCTTCTTTTTTTATTTTGGTCTTTCCACCCTAGAGGTGAGAGGAATGTGTATTTAAAATTGAAGGGGATGGCCGACAGTGCCCGAGGCCAATCCCCGCTCTCAGCACGCCTGCATCTCCCGGCGAGGCGGTATTAATAGTTACTTACGTGGCCGGGGATCTCGGAGCAAGCGGGGCCGTGTGTGCGCGCGCGCGCCTCGCTCGCGCTCCGTCCCCCCATTCAATGTCACCGACACATTTCCACGGAGCCTCCGCCACCCCACCCCCTCCCCGCGGCACTCGAGACTGGCTCAGCCCAGAGCTGGCTCCGCCCCGCCCCCGCCCGGGCCCCCCTCATTGCGCCGGGCGCCCATCAATCAGCGGAGCCGCTGCCAGTCCTCGGGCGGCTCAGCGCCCGCGGACCGCGGCCACTGCCATTACAGCTCCGGGCGCGGGCCTCGCCGCTCCCTGCCCGGGCTCTGCGGGTGTAAACAAAGTGCAGTATCCTTCCGCGGCGGCCGAGCGGAGGAAGGGTCGGGGCGCCGCCGCGGGCCCGGACCGCGCGCCCGGCTGCGAGCGGCTGGGCAGGAGTCGCCCCCCGCAGCTACCAACCCGTCTACCCCGAGCAGCTCCAACAGTGTGCCTAGTGTATTTCTCCGCACCTAGTTCATCTTCCCAGCGCCTTTTCCCCGAAATCGGGCACTCTCTGAGCATCAGGCCACCGCCGCTCAGAAGCCGCCCTGGGCGAGGAGCGCTTCTCTGTGAAGAACGTGCTTGCATCAGTGGTGCTGCATGGAGTTTCAGAAATTAGTTTCGTTTTATTTTTCCAATACCCTCCTTCCTTGCCATTTAAAAAGAAATCGCTTGCTTTTAGTTGATGTCACCGTCCTCTTGCCATCACCACCGCCGCCTCCCTCACCCCTCACCCCAGGGTATCAGTATTTTCAGAAGAGCCGCCAAAGGCACCTTTTGACTCGGACCGAACACTAATTCTTACCTTCCCGTTGCGATATCCGAGGGGCCTTGGCCACGTGAAACAAACCCTTGGGCCCACACCTCATGCCAGTGTTCCTGGCTCCCAGCCAGAGGGCTGGTCTGCCTGAGTCCTCTTCTCTTAGGACTCCCGCCCCCCACCCTGCAGCAGACCTGCTTGGACCAAATGCATTCAAAATTGGGAATCCAATGAGGACTGCTCGTCACATACAGCCCAGATTATTCTCAAATGCCTAGGGAGGTCCCAGTGCATTGAGTTGGGCAGAAATATACATACCAGGAAAGGGGCTTGAACTCAGGCAGAGGCTTTGAATTTTAGGCCTTAACCTAATGCATCCTGGTAAATCAGAAGCAATCTGGTTGGGGGGACAAACTTTCAAAAAAAAGTCAAGGGACTGGGAAAAGGGAGGTTACCAGACCCTTGGAGTTTTCCATGCATATATGCATGCTTTCTAGTGGGGGAGAGAATGGGGACCATATAATTTATTGCCCACAGTGGGACACTTGAGTAAAAGGGAGAGTTATTTATAATTATGCCCACTGGAGCAAATTTATAATTATAATTACACACAACCAAGCTACTCTACTGATAGGGAGCTCCTGGGAAGTTGGCCAGAGATGACACTGTTCAGCAGGCCATTATAGGGCCAGAGTTTGAAAAAAAGGACAAAAAGTGGCCTTACTCCTCCTAGCATAGCTCCCTATCCCTCTCTCCCCAGACCTGCCTAGGACTTAGTCCCTGGCCCTAGGGGAATTCATGTGTTCCCCCAGGGTGTCACCATGACTGCTGATCAGCATCCTTTAAACCAGGCTCATCCCTTGAAAACTTCTGTGCTCCTGTCTCTGTTGAGGGATCCGAAAGGCATAGGTGGTCTCTGTTCGGTGGCCACCAACAGTGCTTTATAACTATAGAGGTTGGGAGACCTTATTCCAGCCCTGTCTGGGCCTCTGATTTCAAATGAAAATTGAGTCAAGACCCTTTTTTTTGCTCCCTGGGTCCCTGTTTCTTCAACTGTAGAACACGCCCTGCTCAGCTCACGTGATGCCCCAAGAATTATCTTCTCAATTCCAGGAAATCTATGAAGGCTTACTGTAAGCCAGGCCCTGTGCTAGTTGTTAAGGACCCAAGTGTGAGTGAGATGTGCTCTCTGCCACCCAGAGCTTGGAATCTAGCCCCAGAGAAAGACTTGGGCAGACACTATGTCATTGCATAACCATGTGGCCATCCAGGTAGCATACAGGTAGAAACAACTTTTCCTGGACTTCAGGAAGTTTCCCCAGAAAATGCAGTTTGTTTACCTTGAATTAACCCAGAGAAAATATATATATTGAAACCTACTATGTGCCAGACACTAGGTACAGAGATACAATGATTTTGAAAATATATTTCCTGTCTTCATAGGCCTTGAAAATGTTCTACAAGTCATAAAAATACCATGAATAAGAGATTGTTGTTGGCATTTCAGGCAGAGAACGTGCAAAAACAAAGGGGTGGGATGTCCTGAAATTTCTAGTAACTCACCGTGGCTCCAGTAGTGGCAGTTTAGGAGCGGTGCAGAGGCATGTAGCTAAATGGTTTATTGGAATTAGAATGGGAAGGGCTGAAAGACCAGGGATAGTCATGGTCTTTGTAGTAGAGGAGATGGGTAGTCAAGGCTACCGTTAAATGGGCAGGTGACAGGGTTGGACTGGGGTTTTAGAAAAACCATGCTGGAGTTCATTTGGAGGAAACAGCAGTGGACTTCCAGGGAAAGAAGGGAACACAGTAGCCTGGAGGGATCAAGAAAACGATGAACTTACAGTGATGCGTAACTGATGTGGGCGTGACTGATAGTGTGTTTATCGCCTCTGATGAGAATGTCCTGCTCATTTTCAAAGGACAAATTCATGGGCTTCAGAAGCTATTGCACCACAGGATGAATTATACCAAGTATAATGTATAAATTACACTGCAGGTTATTTATACCAAGTGCCTTAACTGTATTTACACGTACTAACAGTAATTCTGCTCAGATTGAAAAAAAAAAATACATAGTAGGAAGATCTGGGTGGGAATCTTCAACCACTCACTTTTCAGCCATATGACCTTGGAAGAGTTTAGAATTATCTTAATTATGAAGTGGAACTAGAATCTGAATTTTACCTAACGCATGAAAATTATGAAAGATGTATATAAAGCAGCTAGTACAATGTCTTGCAGTAATAGGAATAGTTATTCTTACTATTATTATTAGAATGCATCCACAGAAAGCAGTCCAACATGTAAAAAAAGTTGTAATAATAGACAAATGCTTAGAGTATCAATAAAATGTGTGGGAGTTATTAAATATACAGTTGTAGGAATGGTTAAATACAATATTTAGCTATGATAAAACATGGCAATTAAAAAAAGGTTATGGAAGTGTATACACATGTCAAAATTCAGTGAGTTGTACACTAAACATTTTATTATATGTACCCCAGTAAACATTAATTAAAAAAATAATGAAGCCCACTTGGATTTTAAAAAATAGGTTATATAGTATCAGGGAGACACATTTTAACCAGTCCACTCTTTAGGATAGTCAAATCCAGTTGCCTTAGGTAGTCACTAGCCTGCTATGCATGCTTTCCAGAACGTTCTTATCTTGAAATATATTTAACTGTTCTTTCATTCACTTCACTGTGCATTGCTTCATTCTTTAGCAAACATACAGTAAGTACTTGCTAAGTGGGAAGCCCTAAGTTAAGTAGTGTTTGTTGATCAAATAAATAGCGTTTGAGGACTCCAAAGACTACTATGTCACTTTAAGGCTGACATTTCCACAAGTGATGACACTCACCTTTCTTAAACAGCTCTTACATCAAGCCATCCTAGGCTTTATAATCTGTGACAGATTTCTAGGACAAATTGTAGATAATGTCAACTCATGCTGATGTGCACGTTATGGACTGCACAACTCCAGAACATTCCATTCCCATGGAGGTCTCTGTGAATGGCATCCCTGGAGTTACACAAAACACAATCTTCTTGGTGTTACGTGGAGCTTTGGGTATAGATTCACTGGACTAGAATTCAAGAACTTCCCAACACCCTCACCTCAGACTCTTCTTGGTTACATGCCCACCAGCTGCTCACCACTCTGTGGGCCATGGAGTACTACCACCTCTGTGCCCAGGACTGGGGTCATATGTTCCTCCATCTTTGGTGCGTCCATGTTTCCCAGGAATTACTCCTGAAATGTTCGCTCTACCTTGCTCACCTCTTTCAGCTCAATTCAGTTTCCCAAGTTTTATTTGGCTTTTTTGGTGTTAAATGACATGTTCAAAATCCACAAGGATGAGTGCATGGCCAACAATGAAAAGGTTTGTGGAGTTGCAATCTAAGTAGCCCCGATGACAGAATCTGAAGATTGCTTAGCATCAGAGTGGGGAAAAGTAGCCAGCATAGGGGCCTCTAATTGTTCCTTCAGGCAAGATGTAACTAACCAACATACGTGAAACCAAATCCGGATACCATTCTAACATCCTGCTGTAATGGCTCCAGGAGGTCCCCTGTCTTAAACTGAGTTCTTCACTGTTCCCTGAGGTTCCACCATTAGTGTTGCATTATTTTGTGTTCAACTTCATATCCCCTTGCTGCCTTTCTTGAACATTCTGTTGCCTCTAGGAAGGGTTTCTGTCATCCCTTTTTGTAAGCAGAAAGGGAGAGAGCCGAGGAAGAGGGCGCACACCTGCACAGCTGTAGCCACTGGAGCTGCATGCGGCCAGGTTCACTGCAATCCCAGGGTCCGCACAACAGGGAGGTACACTTCCAGCAAAGGTGAGGTGTGTTGTCTGCTCCTAGGCTTCGTGTCATAAATTGTCCATTACTTTGAGAATCTTCTGTAATAATAGCTATCTTTTAATTATGTCTTTTGAGTGCTAGACCAGCCACTTTTGTTTTCTCTCTGGTTCTTACTCAACCCTTCAAAATAAGTATTATTACTCCCACTTTATAGATGAAGGAACCAGGATCCAGACAAATTTCTTTGCGTAGTAGCCCTGTTATTCAGTGGCTTTGCAGGTGTGTGTGTGTGTGTGTGTGTGTGTGTGTGTGTGAAACGAGTTCTTTCTGAAACTCTGTGGTGCTTTACTACATCACATCGCCCATTGCCAGGCTTTCTAGACAGGTCTAAACCTTCGGGTTGCATAGCCCAGTTAAAATCCTCCCACGACAGTGATTTCTTTTCCCATTTTTGTTAAACAGTTCAGAAGGCAGTTGTTTATTTACAAGGTGATTCTTAGTAATA